GCTCTTTTAAACGAGCCCCCGTTTGTTAAATTCCGTTCATTCAGTCCGGAGTTATTAATGTTTAAATAAAAACAGATCTAACCTTTCCCCACTACTTTATTTTGGCAGATAGGGGAAAATGGTTCTAACAAAAAATATGCAAAATTTACTGAAGAATATGAATCTATTATTTATAGTATCCGTTATCTAGGCAAAAGTGTGTAAAACACCTCTTTCTTATTTTTAATAGCAGTTGCGCCCTCTAGCGGCCGCTCTATAAACTTGAAAATAATTTCCAGCAATTTCTCATGCTCTCTTTAGTTATAAATATTTTTTTCCGCAAGCTCTACGACTAACACTTTCTGAGATACAGCCGAGGGCTATTCTTAGAATTAGTTCTGTTATCTGTGATTTTTAGAGGGACACCCGGTACAATCATTTGAGCAATTACTTGAAACATAGTTTACATTAAGCAAGTACTTGCAATCAAGTTCTTGCGCAGGCAAAACTTGCATCGTGTAAACGTAGCTTAATAATTCGACAAATTTGCAAGTGGCCAATGGCCAATGTAATGAGAAGTGCGCGGGGTGTGGATTTTGGGATACTCATTCATGATCCATGTGTAGATAGCGATCTACTAAAATATATTGCTGTTTATTTAAATGTTTAGTGATACTTTTTTGTCCTAGTAGCTCCCCAACTGATAAATATGAATTTTGTGTTAAATTCAGTCATACCACATCTTGTTAGTCTTAAATTGAAATTTGTAGGCCTTGATGCCTGTATTATTTTGAACTGATTTGAGATCAGAAATAAATATTTTGAAAAAAAAAACATGAATAAGTTACTTCATATCATTTATTGGTATATGAAAAATATATAATTTATATCATTTATATATAATATATTTAAATATGTTAATAATATATAAATATAAAGTTTACATATAAGAAAGTCTGGTAAAGGTGTGGATCCGGTGGCTGACCTGACAGCTACTTCGCATGCGCACATCGTCGATGTTGCCAGATTGCAGGTTATTTTAGAATTATTTTCAGTAGAAAACAAATAATGTGTTTTTTGCAAATACGTTTAAAATAAAGTATACGGAGGGTACCGCTTAAATTCCTGTCCCGATATTGAAGGATGGCTATAGAATTTCAATGCATTTCCTACATAAGTCTATCCTTAGTTTGTAGGAGGTTTGACTAAACAAGGATGAACCTATGTCTTGAAACCATTCGACTCGATTTTCTGTCCTCCTTCAATACTGGAACGTAAATCCTCTCATTGCTCTTATGGGGAGGCCGTCGTATATTTTATTTAAACGTATTTGGTTTTTTGTCAATATATACCGTATGATCGAAAAAACAGCGTTCATTTGGCTGGAAAATGACGATCGATGACATCTCCTATATAAATTTGCATATAAAATGATAGCGATCTTTATTTTATATCGCTGAGGCCGTTTTTTTTTCGATCATACGATATTATTTTTAATATTTTGCACAACGCGTGAACACTTATTATGTGTTTTCATAGTTAATAAAATTAAATAGAAATAAAACTTTAGATTGCTATAAAATTAATCTAATTGCTCTAGATAATAATCTAGAGCAATTAGATTAATTTTATAGCTAAATCTAAAGTTTAAGCGTACCTAGCATAATAATGCTAGGTACGCTTAAAGTGCTTTTTATTAAAAATTCGGAAAAATAAAAGAGGTGTGTCCAAGTTACTTCTTTTTTGAGTTTTTGCTCCATATCATGTTCATAATAGGGTTTCTAACATAATTCCATTAAAATTAAAACTACGTAGACCAAACCAAAAAGGCCTTTTAGCCTCCGTAATTATAACTGTAGAATCAGCAATATTAATAGGTACCTTGTAAATTCTTCTTATACATTTATTGTATTAATTTTTCTGCTATCTTAAGGTTTTTCTATTCCTTACACCTCTATTATGTGATTCCTAAAGGATATGCAAGTGTTAAGATATCTTAACATTTATTCTCCACACCACAAAGTATATGTAGTATATATGTAATAGGTAGACATAAAAAAATTATAAGAAATATCTTAATATAAATTACAAACTAACTTAAGTCTTAACTTGGTCTGTGTATGTGTGTATAAATCTAATAAGATCAAAAATGAACCTTCACCATATTAGATTTTGGCATTACAGGAAAGAAATTACAGTAAATTAAGAAAATAATATCAAAGTACAGGATATTAAATACTGTAATGTATTCTACGACACAAACGATCCCTTCTAAAGAGAAAAAGATAAAACTAGGTAAAATGTTACCTCTATCTTACTGACTTGTATTGTGCTGTGAGACTCATCATGCGGTAGCAGTGGCGGATACAGAGGGTGGCCCATGGAGCCCCGGGCCCCCCCTTAAATCTGTAAATTGTGTTAAATATTAGGCTTTTTTTGTTAAAAATGGCGCTCTAAAAAGCATATTCTACATTACTTTTTATTTTGGGGCCCCCCTTAAAATAAATTCCTGTATCCGCCCCTGTGCGGTAGTACCGTATGATCGAAAAAAAAAACGGCGTCAGCGATGGCTATGAAATGAACATCGCTGTCATTTTATATGTAAAATTATTTGGGAAATGTCATTGATCGTCATTTTCAAGCCAACTGGACGCCGTTTTTTTCGATCATACGGTACTTCAATATATACGTTTATTTATATAATACGTTACTATTGATATAATCAAAACTATGGTTTTGCCTGTGAATAACTAGAAATTAAACTTGGATGTAATAAATGTGTCATATTGATGACAAAATAATTCTACTAGGTTTAAAACCAATAAGAAAAAATCAGTAAATGATAATTTTTTAATTTTTTGGCGCCTATTAACTGGAATATATTTCTTGATCAGGGGGACGTTGATGGGGCGGTTTCACAGTTTTATGAAATTCTATTTAAAGCAATATCTTCGTTTGTTCCTCTTAAATGCTCAGTGAATTCAAACTTTCCGAAATGGTTTAGCCATGATCTGAAAAAATGTATTAGAGAGAAGAAGGTTAAACATAGGCTGCATCGGCGAACGGAGAGCAGGGATGCTTATCTGGAATTTGTCTGCTTAAGAGAGAGGTGCAGGGCGTTGAGGCGGGATTGCTACTCTAGGTACATCAGAGAAACGGAGTCTAATATAGCACAGGACCCCAGAAAGTTTTGGAGCTTTGTGAATAATAACAGAACAACATATGATTTGCCTAGTACAATGTTTTTCAATGACATTAATGCTGATAATGGTAAGGATATTTCAAATTTATTTGCGGATTCCTTCTCATCTGTGTACTGCGAAAGTAATTTAGTTGTACCCTCTTGCATGCCCGACTTTATGAAAACTATTAATGTAAAACAGATATCCAAGAGTGCAATATTTTCTGTACTTTCGGGCCTTCCAGCAAAAGTTAATCCAGGCCCTGACGGCATACCGAATGTGTTTCTGAAGAATTGTATATATATATAGTATAACTAACCGATTACACAAAATATTTAATATGTCTTTAAGACTCTCGGCTTTTCCTAGGCTCTGGAAGTCTAGTTTTTTGATCCCGATTTTTAAGAGTGGCAATAAGTCTGATATTAAAAACTATAGAGTCATATGTAATAAGTCGGCAATTCCAAAACTTCTAGATAAGCTAGTCTACGAGGATTTGCTATGGCAATGTTAGGGCATATTAACAGACTGCCAGCATGGATGTTCCCATGGTAAGTCGACTGTTACAAACTTGGTCTCATATCAGACGGCTCTGTTACACGCCTTAGAGAATGGAAACCAGGTGGACGCAGTCTATACGGATTTCTCTAAGGCGTTTGACAGAGTTAATCATGTTGTCCTTCTGGAGAAGCTGAGAGCTGTTGGCTTTTGTGATGATTTGGTTGGTTGGTTCCATAGCTACCTGACCGAAAGAAGGCAGGTAGTTAAGATTAATAACTTTACTTCTAGAGAGATCTCAGAGACGTCTGGTGTTCCACAGGGCGCCCATTGTTCCCCTTTACTGTTTAGGCTATTTATCAATGATATTGTGTCGAGTGTTAGTAATTCCTCCTGCTTGTTGTTTGCCGACGATATGAAAATTTATAGAACTGTTTCTAATGTTAATGATTGCCAACTTTTACAGAGAGATTTAGATAGAATGGGTGACTGGTGTAAGGTGAACGGCCTTTCCCTAAACGCTAGTAAATGTTCAGTTATAAGTTTTTCCAAAAAAAGATCACCAAGGTTTCTTTTTGATTATGATTTGAATCATGTTCATTTGACACGGGTGGATTTGGTCAGGGACTATAGGGGTATAGGCTTTGACTGTTCTCTTTCTTTTAATGAACACATTAATATAATTGCTAATAAAGCTTTAAAAACACTGGGTTTTGTATTGAGAAACTGTAAAGACTTGTCGGTATGGGCTTTGCAGATAGTATATTGCTCATTGGGGAAGATCAATTTTAGAATATGCATCTGTTATATGGAATCCTCAATACGATGTATCTAAGAAAACAATAGAAAGGGTTCAAAAGAAGTTTGTAAGGTATTGCGCTTTCAGACACAATCAAGAATATAGTTACATTATCAACTTAGACCAATTAAATTTAGAGACTCTGGACAAAAGGAGATTAATCTATGATCTTTCTTTTTTTTATAAGATTGTTAATGGCGTATATGACTGTCCTGAGATACTTAAGACAAATTTATTTCAAAGTTCCATTTAGGCCATTGAGAATTAATGATTTGTTCTTTATTCCTTTGCATGGTACTAATTATGGAAAGCATTCTCCAATTCCAAGGGCACTTAATTCTCTGAACAGGTTTCATGATGCTCACATTTTTAATGACTCTTACTGGGCATTTAGGAGGAAGATTAGAAATGAGAGTGGTGATTGATGGGTGTGTTAATTCTTCTTTTTACTGTACCGTTCTTCTCTTATAAGTGTTTATTGTTGTTTTTTTTGTATTATTTTTTAATGTTTTTAGTATTAGTAATTTAGTTTTTAGTATTAGTAAGTATCTTTATACGATGTGAAAGAAAAAGAAAAGACATTTTTTTTCTTTTTTTTAATATTGTTTTGTAAATTTTGTAATGTAATGGGGTTTCCCGTAAATAAATAAATAAATAAAAATAAATTCTAATGTAAATATGTAAATAAATAAATATTATTACAATATACCGTATGATTGAAAAAAAATTACGTCCAGTATATGCGTCCAGTTGGCTTGGAAATGATGATCGATGACATTTCCAATATAATTTTGCATATAAAATGACAGCGATTTTCATTTCATAGCCATCGCTGACGCTGTTTTTATTCGATCATACGGTATTATTTACTTTAACTCCAATTACAATTATAATACCTTAACTTCACAATCTCCATTATCCTGCTTACCTTAATTTTTGATATCAAGATATATCTGAAATTATAAAATTAATTATAGCATTTGTATTCTTACTGATTAACACTCAAAAAAACATTTTTGTTTTCAATGGCAAATAATTCGAAAATAAATTGCAATTTGGCAACATCGAAGATGTGCGCTTGCGTAGTATCAAATGCAACAAAAATCAGCCACCGGATCCACATCTTTACGGAAAGTCTTATTTATTTTATTTCTCTGTATGAACTCACCATTATACTTTTTCAATATTTTACTTTATTTGACTGTCTGAACAGTTGACTTAGTTTGAACTTTTCATTCTTAATATATGGTTTGAATGCTTACAAATACAATTTTATTTGTTATTTTATTTTATTCTTATTTATTTCACTGTTGGAACCCATTATATTAAATATTTCTAATATGTGACATTTTCCAATTAATAAATAATCTATTCTTTTAATTTTATCACTTGCCATTTCTGCTAGCATCAAAATAGCACCGTTAATATTTCCACTAGTTTCTGTTGGCAGCACAGATCCATCAACCACAAAAAGTTTGCTTGTTGTTTTGACTTGAAAATCATAATTAACTACTGTGGATTTTTTTTCTGGGTGTCCCATTTTACACGTACCTATAGGATGGTATGATGTCATTGTTAAATGCCTAACATAACATTCCCAGTACTTGTCTGAATTAAATTGATATAATTCACAGCCTGGAAAGGGTTTATAGTTGAATTGGGCACCTATGGATTTTAACTCATCAGATTCTACAAGTTCTTTTATAAATTTTATGCCCTTAATAAGGGTTTCAACATCCTGAGGGTCTGTTAAGTATTTTGGGTCAATAACAGGAGATGAATAAGGATCATTTTTGTTCAGTTTAACAAACCCTTTGCTTTTTGGATGTAAAAGCACTGGTAAAATGGTAATAGCTGGTTGTTTATTTGTAGCAAAGTATGTTGAGTAGACAGAGCTAGGAATCCCCATTAAGTGTCTTAAATATATGCCATTATCCTCTTTCAGTGCCAATGGCATGATCATAAATTGCAAATCTGGACGCTCTGAAGTGTTTCTTGTATTAAAAAAGGCTATCAGCTCACAACCTGTTGTAGTCCAAGGACCTATACCCTTACTGAAATACTTCCACAATGATAATGGTGACAGTATTTGTTCTATTCCAATATCTAAGGTCTGATTGATTAAGACCAGATCAAAACCTGTAGTGACATGATCATGCAAATTGTGTCCCACTGGTAAATCAACTTTTAAAGGAATTTGTACTTCTTTTAAATGTTTTTTCTGTCCTATACCAGAAAGCATTAAAATTTTTGCTGAACCAATCACTCCAGCTGATAAAATAACACCCAACTTGGCATAAACTACATATTTTCTTCCTGAATATCTGTATTTAACACCATAAGCTTCAAAATTAGACTTCATCATTATTTCTTCTACAACACATCCATATCTAATATCTATATTTGTAATTTTACCCTGTTTGATTAACTCTGCTGTTGTCCACCTTTTTCCATTATGAAGAATGGTTTTTGGTTTACTGTATCCCAACTGACAGTTCAGATTCTCTTTTGGAGTTTCATATCCCAAATTCACTACTGCTTTTAATAAAATATCAGGTAAAATAGTGTGAAAAATTAAATCCCTAACTGGAATAAGCCTCTCCAATTTTTTGAAGTAATACAAAATATCATTATAATCATATTCCTTGTAGTCTTTAAACCATTCGTCAAAATCTGACTTATGACCTCGCATGTAAAGCATATTGTTTATCATGCTAGTGCCACCTAAAATTTTTCCCATTGGCCATCGACTGGAATTATTGGGAAGTGCAAAGCAAGCCGTTTTCTGAGGTACCGTTGTATATTGCCAGTCAAAGGGAGAATTCTGTAAAAGAATTCCCATTGAAGGGACATTGTAAAAACCAAAATCACGTTTTCCAGCTTCAATAACAAGTATTCTTTTGTTTGAGTCTTCTGCTAGTCTTTTTGCCACAAGTGAACCTGCTGAACCACCACCTACTATAAAACAAGGATTGATCCTCAGGTCGCACAAAAGGAAGCCTTACCTATAATATAATCATAAACTACCAACTTTTCTTTATGAAAATCAAAAGACGACACCAAGAAGTTTTCTAAAGTATCATAATATTTTAAAAAAGCACTAAATAAAACTATGAGAATAAAATAACTAGCGAGGAAAATGGATCTTAGAAACATTGCCTCTCAGTCTATGTATTAAAATATTTCACACAAAACAGATACACAAGAATATTTCATTTCTTTATGATTAGATTTTGTACATGTTTTCTCACTTAGTGCTTTCTGATGTTCTCTGGTTTTGTTGGGTTTTGTACTTTGTACTTACTAGGATACATTAAAATACGCAACCAACCGTCCAATCAGATGAAAGAGGTACGTACCCTATCGTTGGGTATTGTGCAATCACGTGATGCTCATGTCGTATGACGGTTAAATCTTTGGTTAGAATTTTTGTTGTTGTTTTTACCTGTTTTTACAGTTTTTACTTTATTTTTCTATTTACATCAGATTTATATTTGTAATTGCCTATCAGACAACGTATTTAGAGAAAAATAATAAAATTAGGATCGTGTTTTTTTAAATCCTGGATATTAATTGGAACCCTTGATAACATTACTGCTTTTGATATAAAGTGCATTTTGATTATTTACTTGGGCTAGGATATTAAAATATCGGTTGGATTGTACGACATAAATAGATGTAGGTATGATTATTTATATATATAATAATGTATTTATAAAGCTTACTATCTGTTTTGCATTTTTAGTTTTTGATCAGACATTTTATTTTTATTTGTGAAATGCCCACAAAAAAGCTTTCAATGATTCAACATCAGTGTGTTTGCTGCATAATGGATCATTCCTGCTGAACTTTTAGATCATTTGAAGACTACACGGAAAAAAACCAGATAATATGTTACATTTTCATAGAAATTAATAGCGAGACAATTTTATAGGCAAGTGTTAGCATTATTAGAGGCACCATCAAAGAAAGCAATAATATGCTTAGTCCCAGAGATATTACAGCTTAGTTATTTTGCCCTACAGGAGAAAAAACAGAGTAGTTCACTCGTAATTGCATTTTCTCGGCTCCAGTTAAAATGAACAAGCTGGTTTTTCCTGTGGTCTTCATTTGAAATAACGTAAATAAATGTTTATATGTATGTGATGATTAAATTGGTGTTAAGGAAATAAAAATGTTTTCGATATTAATATATACCTATATATGTATATTTATTTTAAATAAATTACACTTTTAACAGTTTAATGGAGTTTTTAAAGCCAGTTATAATATTTATATTTTAAAAACTTGAAATCATGTGGATGTAATCACGCATTAAACCACAGACTAACTTATATAAGTCAAAAAGTAGATTTTAGTGTTAACTTTATACCGTATGATCGAATAAAAACGGCGTCCAGTTGGCTTGGAAATGACGATCGATGGTATTTCCTATATAAATTTACATATAAAATGACAGCGATCTTCATTTCATAGCCATCGCTGACGCCGTTTTTATTCGATCATACGGTATAACTTGTAAATAAAATAATAAATAAAACAAATATGAAAAAACCAACAATTCTAATGTATATATTAAAATACAGTACAATAATAGGTATCTGATACCCTCACTTAACGTAGAATAATATTCTACCCAACTCAATACTATGTCCAACATGAGTTTCAAATATATCGGACCCTAATCGTTCCTGAAAATAATATTTTTTACATTGTTATACCATATTCTAAACTATTTATTTCAGTCACTTAGAAAGTTAATTTGTATTGAATAACTGTCTACCATTAAAGCAAATTTGGACTAGTATTTTTAATGGGCATATTCTGTGTATGGATATAAGTACTTCCTCCAGATTTTGGGTTCAACTAATTTATTCTTAAAACCTGAAACATCTACGTATAAAAAATAGACAGGTTACTAATTATAATAAATTTACCCTTAGAATTATACTTCTTTAACAAATAATTTCCATTGGTATACTTCTCCATGACAAGTAATCAACTTCCTAACATTTTTTTAATTGATGTAATACTTCCTCATGATGCGAAAAGAAAATCTTTTCTTTAGCACACAAGGACAAACGATATGTTGGCTTACTTTCAGATTAGTTAATTTTCCATAGATATCCTCATGTCAATTCAAAGACGATGAACATGAAAATGATCATCACATGAAACATCACAAACTAAAAACCTAATAAACAAGTTTATATCAATATAGAAATAAATTTAGTGTTCTTACCTATTGTCGTCCAAATCTACGTTAATAGATAATTAATTTTTTAGATTTTTTATCTTTTATTTTTAAATATATCTTTCGAACTACTGGTTTTAGTAATTATTAAATTAAACGAACTAAAAAGTCAAAAATATTAAACAATTAATTCTCTTGTCAATTGTCAATTTTCTCCAGGCACCGAACATTATCGATAACGCACGATCTACGACGATTACTCCTTTGATCTGATTGGACGGTTCAATGACGGTTGGTTGCGTATTTTAATGTATCCTGTACTTACTTATCTCTGGTCAAGGATACTATAGAGATAAGGATCACATATCACAGATAAGCATACAGATAAGGATAGTTTGGGATAGTTCAATTCCTATCTTCCTGCTATGGGGTGTAGAGGCAAAGGAGAACTTGTGTCTAGCCTAAGCCCGACCAATCACGTTAAGGTTTTTGACAAATACGAATGAATTAACACCACAGAACAGATTTACACACTCCAAATAACCACGCTAACCAACCGGTCAAGCTTAATAGTTGATTGCAGATGAAACTGTTTGGAAACACGGCGGAGTTTCTGCCAGTAGAGGGATAGATGGCGCTGCGTAGAAATTTCATCTAAAGTCCCTAGATATTCATCTAGGGACTTTAATTTCATCATGATTTTATCAAGTCATCCACAGAGTATAGTTTAATTAACAATTCGTTTGATTCTCTGTGGAGTAGTTGGAGTAGTTGATATTTATATAAAATGTTGATAATTTAACAGTGATATGCTTTGTTACCCTATGAATAAACATTGATATAAAGTTGCTTTCGCCAGAAACAATTATAATTAAATAATTTAATAAAATTTAATTTCTAAGTGACTTGGATCAGTTAGATCAGTAAATTAAATTGAATAAACGTCATTCCAAATTTGGCAATGTCTGTCAGTTTCTGTGAAGTGGAAGCGAATTGTGATTTGTTTTTTATGGGAATATTTTACGGATTTTTGAATTTAGAGTATTTTTTTTTGGACGATAGGATTGTGAAATTTAAAAGCCAAATGGTTTAATATATAAGATTAGTTAATCCCTGTGATAATTTTATGAAATTTCTCATAATCAAAACAAATTCTTTATAAAATGGCTGTCTCGAAATTTGGAAGATCATTAATTTTAAGTTTTATTTAAGGGTAATATTTATATCGAATCAAGAATTTGTATAACATTAAAAGCTTAATTTTAAAGGTTGTTCAGTAATTTATGTAAGTGTACGCTTTTAGATAAATAAATATACAAATTTGCAAAGACAAATAAGTAATTTTAAAAAAAGATTTTTTTTATTTATTTATTTAAACAGTATAATCATTAATCATTAGGTTGAAAATATATTTGTATTCTTATTTATACTCTATACCCTTGTATTATTTATAAGCCCTATATGTCCTGTTTTATTTGAAAAAATATGCTTCGAGTCATCGAGAATAGATTTAATAACAATTTTGTCTCTTGGCTTTGTGTATTATATAATGTGTATTGTAAGATGTTTCTATTTGAATAGGTCATTAAAGTTCAGATTAAAGTTATACCAAATTATATTCACGGTAACTATATGTCTTTTATATAATAAATTATTTATTTATAATTTATAACCTTTTTATAATTATATAACTGATTGTATAAATTCTGATAACTTTTATATATACTTGTATAGTGTTGAATGTGTTATATGTAATTTTATTAACAATGTTTATAATAAAATAATCAAGTTACAAATTTTTCGTGTTTTATTCTAATTTCAGGGATAATTTCAACCTAGATTATTAATTTATTTGTATCAAAATACATTATTTTATTTTGTAAAAAATGTTTTTTGTTACAAATAATAAGTTCATAATCTAGATTGAAATTACCAAATATAAGTAAAAAACTTATGAACTGGCAGTAAAGATCCATTTAAAAAATATGGCGCGAACTTTTAGTTCTGCCAGTAGCCCGCTTGGATCGCGTCGAGCGCGTGTTTCCAGGCTTTAACATAGGAGTTTTCATTTCTTTCAGTTAGTTATTCTATGGTTGACTGCTATGACTAGACACTTCTGTAAGACGATGGCAAAGAGTAGATATCTTATCTACTTGTGTTATCTACTCTTTGACGATTATTCTAATTTCAGGGATAATTTCAACCTAGATTATTAATTTATTTGTATCAAAATACATTATTTTTATTTTGTAAAATGTTTTGTTACAAATAAGTTCATAATCTAGATTGAAATTACCAAATATAAGTAAAAAACTTATGAACTGGCAGTAAAGGTCCATTTAAAAATATGGCGCGAACTTTTAGTTCTGCCAGTAGCCCGCTTGGATCGCGTCGAGCGCGTGTTTCCAGGCTTTAACATAGGAGTTTTCATTTCTTTCAGTTAGTTATTCTATGCTTTATCTATTAATGCTCTATTTGATATTATATTATTTGCTGATTGATAGTTGGTAAATTCAATTGATATTCTATTTAAGCCTTTATTGTTAATTTTTTTTATATCAGTTAAATTTAAATTAAATATTTCTCTGGCAATCTTAATATTGTTAAATCTGCCAATATTATAACCAACAGCATCTGTAGATTCCAAATATACTACGTACGGGCCATAGTCGTTTTTAGCATAGTAAATTGTTTTTTTTTGTATCGGAATTCAAGTCCGTCATGACCGAATTCCTATCTGTTTTTGTTCTATCAACTTCCATATTATCAAGAATTTGAGTATTAATATTACTAGGGGGGGGATCCGTCCCCCCCTCACTATTCGTAGTTGTAAAAATTTGTTACTTGTTTTTGTTAATTTAAATAAAAAAAAAAGGAAAATTACGATAGATGATATCTACTTGTTGCAGGCAAGCAAATGTAACTAAATATAAGCAAATGCTCAACTTACCACGATAGACGTAAGACTTCAATAATTGTTAAAAGGATAAATAAAGCCTCTCTTCAGCTCGTGAGCTCAGCCGTCAAATCTAGCTAGTTCGCTGCTGCTTCGACGATGGTCTTCACAGCACTGAGTCACAAAATAGAAATCATCATTGATTTCTATTTCGTGACTGAGTTATCTATGGTTACTTTTCATTTTTTAGATTCATGTGTTTTTAGCGCCACTGTGGTTATTTGGCGAACCCTTATTCTTCCCATTTTATGACCACTTTTTCAATAAAAGTCTCGTAAGGGTGCAGCCACACTATCCTAAAAACGGCGTATCGGCGTAACGGCGTAATGACCTTGAATATATTTCCAGTAATTCTATTGGCTGAAACATTCATCTGTCAGAAATTTTATCTGTCAAATTCATCTGTCAAAAATTTCAGCCAATAGAATTACTGAAACTAAAGGTCGTTACACGCCAATACATAGACCTGAATGATAATAAGCTACACCAGCTACTTTTACCTCTACACTCCATAGACGATGGTAAGGAGAAATAACTCTTATAGGACTTTTATTCCAAAAGTGGTCGTTCACTCTCTTCCAATTAACCTCACTGCCATCAAAAATAACTCCTCAAATAAAAATAAATATAACCAAACATTAAACATTGGCTAATGGGACGAAAAGGAACCAAGCCAGACCCAAGCCAATGAAGAGAAATTAATTTCCTCTTCGCAAACTACTACTACTAAGCTACTACTACTACTAATAACCAAACATTACCCAAAAAAAGTTTTGTTTTTATTTTTTAGAATATAAAATAATTATTGTTTATCAATATTTTGGATAATGATGTGGATTCGGTGGCTGACCTTGAAACGAGTTTTTGCTGCGTATAGTCACAGACTAGTGTTCCCAACTCTCAAAAATTTATCTCCCAAAAAATCTAAACACTCGCATCAAAAATCCTCAAAATATCCCTAAAAACCTAAAAAAATATCCCGATAAAACCCTAAAATATAAATAATAATAAATAAACAATTTGTTGTGTTTTAAGTGGTTGACCATGAGGGTGCAGCCAGCCACACCATCCTAAAAACGGCGTATCGGCGTAACGACCTTGAATCGATTTCCAGTATTCTATTGGCTGAAATTTTGACAGATGGTGACAGATAAAATTTCCTGACAGATGGTGGCAGCCAATAGAATTGAAATGTCAAGTCATTACACTCGACACATACAGCCTACGCCGACAGGATAGTGTGGCTGCACCCTGAAACGTCTGATCACAGCAACGTAGCCAACTGTTCGAAACTTTCCATTAAAGCAGATTAAAGCAGTATCAAACCTTCTTAAATCCAAACAACTAAAATCCCAACAACTGTTCTCCAAGATTCGGTGATTAAAATAAATAAATTATTTTGTTTTATTGATACTTTCCTATTAATTTTCAAAAATAGCAGTAGCGGTCTTATCTCCTCTTTGGTAACGGTAAAATTCCATTGAAGTACATCCTTGAAAATATCCCCAAAAATTTAATGTTTTTAAAAAAAAATCCCCATATAGATTTTTTCTCCCCAAATTTAGGGATAAAATCCCGGAGTTGGTAACACTGTCACAGACACTACGCATGCGCACATCTTTGATGTTGCCAGATTGCAAGTTATTTTGGAATTATTTTCAGTAGAAAACAAATATGTGCTTTTCAATGTTTTTTTTGTCAATATATAACGTATGATCGAAAAAGCGGCGTCCAGTTGGCTGGGAAATGACGATTGAGGACATTTCCCATATAAAATGACAGCGATCTTCATTTCATAGTCATCGCTGACGCTATTTTTTTTTCAATCATAGTACAATATTTATATTATTATTTTAATATTTCTATTAAACACGTGAACGCTTATTATGTATTTTCATAGTCAATAAAATTAAATAGAAATAAAACTCCAGATTCCTATGATTAATATAATTGCTCTAGATCAGCGGTCGCCAACCTCTTCAATGTGTTGAGCTACTATGTTAATTTTGGAATAAACAGTGAGGTACCCACACGGAAGCCACGTAACGCAACGTAAATGAAATAATCCAGAGTTAATTTATCATTATATGTATTTATTTTACTATTTAACTGGTAATACATAATACATGTCATAGGTACTAATAATAAACTAATAACAAAACAACTAATATTACTAGTACGTACTTGTTCATAGCTACATTCCTACCTACCAAACGAAGGTGTTTGAAAAATAAACACAAACTTTTATCCAGCCACAACGGCATGTCACGTAAGATTTAAAAATTGTTATTAATATCAACAAAAAAGTAACGCACTATCATAAACATAAACATTGAGAAATAAAAAAGCACGTTCAATGGGAAGGCTGACACTCAGACTCATCGATAATTTTTTAATGTTTGCAGTATAATTTGATACAGCCATTCGAATACAATTATCCAAATGTTCATCTGTAAGTCGATTGCGATATTTGTTCTTAATAAACTTCATATTGGAAAAAGAAGATTCACACAAATAGGTTGAACTGAATAATGCTTTCACTTTCAAGGCAACACGGCATAGAACTGAATATTTGTCTTTGCTTACAATAGACCAGATACATTTGGTACTTGAGACTAACGATTTTAAGGCTAAATCATTTTGAAACTCAATTACTTCCATTTCTGTTGCAGCGATGTCTTCGCCAAAGTTCTGCATAACACAAGTTGCAAACTGTTGGATATCAATTTCCATAAAGGGTGAACCAACAAACTGCGCTACTAAAGCCATTTCGTCGAAGTCCTTAAAACGATTTTTGAAGTTATTCTTCAAGGTAGAAACTATTTCTACATGATATTTGCTGTCATAGGGTTCTAATGGATTTTGAGATATCTTTTCTGAAAGAATAGGAAAATGCTTGGCATCGCTGTTAATTAGGTTTTGTTCCCAAAACTCCAGCTTTCTGATAAATGCTTTTATATCAGAAATCATTTCCGCTAGTTCTTTGTCTCTCCCCTGAAGCTGCAAATTAAGTTCGTTTAATTTCTCTGTAATGTCCACGAGAAAACCAAAATCCCGAAGCCAGATTGAATTTTCTAGTTCCGGAATCGGTTCATCGCGTTGTTTGAAAAATTGAACTATGCCAGATAGGACATCATTAAAACGTTTCAGCACTCGTCCTCTACTTAGCCATCGGACTCCAGAGTGAAGGAGTAGGTCCCCGTATTGACAGTCGACTTCATCGGCCAAAGTTTTGAATAATCTTCTTTGTAATGCTTGAGCTCTAATCTTGTTCACAATTTTTACCACCAGTTTCATAACGTTGTTTAGTTTCAGAAAATTTCCACATAATGCTTGCTGATGGATAATGCAGTGGTAAGAGAGAAATTGCGGAAAAGTTTCATCTTTACGACATAACGCCACCAGACCCTTATCACAACCCACCATAGCTGGAGCGCCATCGGTTGTCAAGCCTACCATTTTCGATTGGAATTTTCTCGGAAGAAATAATATTTTAAATGAAAACAACTCCCTGTCCAGTAGTGTATCCTTTCAGTGGAATAAACTTCAAAAGATCTTCTTTAATCGTAAAATCACTAAAAACCATCCTGACGAACACGGCCATCTGGGCAGTCTCAACCACATCTGTTGATTCATCCAGTTGAAGTGAAAAATAAACACAGTTATCTAAGTCAGTTCTTAACTGTAAAAAAATATCATTGCTCATTACTTCTACACGTCTCATCACTGTATTAGCAGAAAGTTGCATAGATTTTATAGCTGAAAGTATCTCGTCTTTATTTCTAAAGTTGGCAAATAACAAATCAGCAGCTTCTAAAAACGCCTGTTTTATCATTTCCCCGTCTTCATAAGGTTTCTTTTTTTGTGCAATTATCTGGGACACACGGTACGATGCTTCAGTTGCAGCCTTATTTTTGTCGACTGTTCTTAAAAATATTGATTGTTGTCCGATTAACTGATTTTTTAACTGTTTCAGTTTCTCCTTTCTGGCGACAGAATGTAGTGGGAATGATTTTTCAAAATTAGAATGTACAGTTGTATGATGTCTCTCAATATTTCCTTTTTTAGCAACGGAGACCGAAGTATTACATAACAAACACACATTTTTACCTTTAACTTCTGTAAAAAAGTACTGTTCTTCCCATTCCGAATGAAAGTGGTATGTCTTTACCTTCTTACTACTGCTTGCCATAATATTCTTTTTTGTTGTTCTCTACTAAGTACTAACCCAACCGCTGGACGTTGGTTATGCGTTCAGGTTCAGTTTTAAACTAAGCCACAGAATATACTAACGAAAAAGAAGCCCAAGTTCCTTGTAATAAATCGGTTCCATTTTCGTAACGCCATCTCTCGACATAGCTGACATTATAGGTTAGCAAAAGGGGTGCGGGGCCGGGGGGAATTGTAAAATACACTTTTTTATTTTAATTATTTTTATTCGCTATTGCAATTTTATTTTTAAAACATATTATGTGAAACAATCACATAATATGTCAAAAATAAAATTACAAGCAGAAACAAAAGGAATTAAATAATCTGAAGTTTACTGATAAAAAAGATAGGCTATGCAAATTCATAAGTATATTAAGTATAACCTCTTTGGTATAACATTGTTAAACAAGCATTAACAAATCATAACATATCCAGATCATAAATTTAAAAAAGTACTATTACATAAAAACAGGTGATACAATACTTCAAAATTAATTTAACATAATATCAAAACCAAAATCAAACTGCAAACACAACCACTTATCACAGAAATTAACACACACTTCCGCGGCAAATGTCCAAGAAAGACTGATCATTCTGATTGGTCCTGGTCCGGTCGTAGCTCAAGTCGTATTGTCGGTAAGCAAAATCCCTGTCCAAAAATTTTGACGATCAGCGCCATCATCCGTCATAATTGGGAAACTTTTGCTGGAACCATTTTTAATATTTCACTTACATGGCCCTGAACTAAGCGCAATGTCGCCGCACCGTGCGTATTTATACCGTTCAAAGCAATCCAGACCGTTCTCTCTCGAACACTAACGCGCTGGTCCGGCCGGTCGGTTCTAGCCGCTTCTAGCTTGATGGCGTCAGCGGCATCGCTCACCGCAACGTTGCCGCTGTTTATGTTTAATATTATGACAATTACATTTTTTTGTAAATTTAAATTTTTACCTTAATGTGATTTTTGCAGTTTGTGTTTTTAAAATTGTGAGAGCTACCAGAATTGCATCCGCGAGCTACCGGTAGCTCGCGATCGACAGGTTGGCGACCGCTGCTCTAGATTATTATGCTACGTTTAAAAAGTGCTTTATTAAAAATTGTAGCTCCATATCATGTTCATAATAGGTTTTTTTTAACGTTCCATCAAAACTACGGAGGCCTTAAAAGGCCTTTTAGCCTCCGTAATTAAAATTGTAGAATCGACTTCAGCAACATTAAGAGTTACCTTGTTTAATTCTGCTTATACATATATTGCATTAATTTTTCTGCTACCTTAAGATTTCTTTATTCTTACACCTAATTTATGTGATTTTCTTAGCATATATGATTTATAAACCATATTTTTTTTTTTTTTTTTTTTTTTAAATTATGCAAAAATTAAGATATTTTAACATTTATTTTCCAGACAAAGCATAATATAGTATTAAGATTAAGACATAACAAATATTATAAGAAAGATCTTAATATAAATCACAAACTAACTAAGTCTTAATTTCGTCTTGTATAAATACAGGTATAAAACACAGAACCTCTTTGACAGAACATCAGATAAGATCAAAACTCAACCTTCACCATATTGTCAAGATTTGGCATTATAGTTAACAAGATATTACAGTAAATGAAGGAAAGAATATCAAAGTACACTATATTAAATACTGTAATATATTCTACGACACAAACCATCTCCCTTCTAAAGAGAAAAAGATAAAACATAAAAACATTTTTTTACATATTTAAATTTCTACATATGTATATATGTCTAAAATTGTTATTAATCCACCAACTTAATATTTTCAAGAAATTATGATACAAACATTATAATCAAAGTATATTATATTAGTAACATTATAGGTAAAATGTTACCTCTATCTCCCATTGACGTGTATTGTTCTATAAGAACTATTGTTGCCTGTAAATAACTAGAAATTAAATAATTTGAAAGAAATAAAATAATTCTAATAAGTTTAAAACCATTACGAAAAAATCCGTAAATGATAATTTTTAATTCTAATGTAAATATATAAATAAATGTTATTATTATTACAATTTTATATATTCATAATACTTTCATTTCACAATCTCCATTATCCTTCTTACCTTAATTTTGGATATCAAGATAAATCTGAAATTATAAAATTAATTATAGAATTTGTATTATTATTGATTAACACTCAAAAAAAAAATTTCAACTGCAAATAATTCGAAAATAAACTGCAATTTGTCAACATCGACGATGTGCGCTTGCGTAGTATCGATGATCAAATGCAGCGAATATGGGCTTCAGGGTCAGCCACCGGATCCACACCTTTTACCATAGAATAACTAACTGAAAGAAATGAAAACTCCTATGTTAAAGCCTGGAAACACGCGCCCGACGCGATCCAAGCGGGCTACTGACAGAACTAAAAGTTCGCGCCATATTTTTAAATGGACCTTTACTGCCAGTTCATAAGTTTTTTACTTATATTTGGTAATTTCAATCTAGATTATGAACTTATTTGTAACAAAACATTTTACAAAATAAAAATAATGTATTTTGATACAAATAAATTAATAATCTAGGTTGAAATTATCCCTGAAATTAGAATAAAACACGAAAAAAATTTGTAACTTGATTATTTTATTATAACATTGTCAATAAAATTACATATAACACATTCAACACTATACAAGTATATATAAAAGTTATCAGAATTTATACAATCAGTTATAAGTAATTAAAAAAAAGGTTATAAATTATAAATAAATAATTCATTATATAAAAGATATATAGTTACCGTGAATATAATTTGGTATAACTTTAATCTCAACTTTAATGACCTATTCAAATAGAAACATCTTATAATTCACATTATATAATACACAAAGCCAAGGGACAAAATTGTTATTAAATCTATTCTCGATGACTCGAAGCATTTTTTTTCAAATAAAACAGGACATATATAGGGCTTATAAATAATACAAGGGTATAGAAAATATATAAATAAGTAAATGCAAATATATTTTCAACCTAATGGTTAATGATTATACTCGTTTATAAATAAATGATCTTTTAAAATTACTTGTTTGTCTTTGCAAATTTATATTTAATATTTATCTAAAGGCGTACACTTACATATATTACTGCACAACCTTTAAAATTAAGCTTTTAATATGTTATACAAATTCTTGATTCGATATAAATACAATTAAATAAAACTTTAAAATTAATGATCTTCCAAATTTCTGACACAGCCATTTTGTTGAAAGAATTTGTTTGTATGAAATTTCATAAAAAATTATAACAGAGTTAATTAATCTTATATATTAAACTACTTGGCTTTTAAATTTTACAATCCTATCGTCCAAATACTCTAAATTCGCAAAATCGTAAAATATTCCCCATAAATCACAATTCACTTCCACTTCACAGAAACTGACAGACATTGCCAAACACAATTGCCAAATATGGATTGCCGTTTAATTTTTTCAATTTATTTTACTTATAGAAAATTAAAAAAAAAAAAAAAAATTAAATTTTTTATTAAATTATTTTAATTATAATTGTTTCTGGCGAAAACAACTTCATATCAATGTTTATTCATAAGGTAACAAAGCACATCACTGTAAAATTTATCAGACATTGCTTATATAAATATTTATATTTTTCAACTACTCCAACTACTTGGCTCCAATTACTCCACAAGAGAATCAAACGAATGTGGTTAAATTAACTATACTCTGTGGATGATTTGATAAAATCATGATGAAATTAAAGTCCCTAGATGAATATCTAGGGACTTTAGATGAAATTAAAGTCCCTAGATATATAAAGTACCGCAATTACCGCTATATTGGCGCCAAAACTAGCGGCAAATTTAAAAAAAGGAGGCCAACTTTCCGGCTGTTATCGGCTTTTTTAAAGGGCAGCTGGTTCCGGTCCGGGCGCAATATGGCAGACCAACATTGACAGGCAAGCGTAAAATAAATCATTTATTAATTGTAATAGAATTACGTTTATTATATACAATTTACCCTCATTTTAAAACGTAAATATCAAGGTTTGTTATTTTATATTGCAATTTCATAAATTTAATTTTTTAGCTGCCCTATCTATGTTAAGGAGTTAATATACGCAGAATGTGTTTCCTCTCGGGTCCACCACAGAATGTTTTTCAGTTGTTTTTTATTTTATTTTTATGTTAGCTTTTAGCGCAAAGTACGCCAAAAGAATTATAGTGTATAGTGGTTAATAGCGTAAGAAGAAAAAAGTTAGAATAAACATTTAGCATTTTTAGTACTTAATATTCAATAATAAACAAAATAAAAAAAAAAACTTTGTTTGTTGATGAGAAAACGAGGGCTACCTATACAATAAGTAAACTTTCCCTATTATAACCAGTTATGCTGTAGTTAGTTTTTACAAATAAGCATGATTTAACGAAAGTCTGTGGAACTATGAATCTAGGAATAAGCCCTACAACTTAAATTTGAAAGGGCCCTTTATTACGAGAAAAATTTTTGAACCATGGTTGAACAAATATAAATGTAATAATTAAATTGATATGATACATAACTGCTATTATTTTGAAATATATTAATATATTGATAGAAAGGATTGTTTTTCAATTAGTATTACTTCAGTAAGTTTCAGCATTTTTAAAACGTATGTAATTTTTATTTTGTGGCAACTTTAATCTTAAAAAATAACTTAGAAAGAAGCTTGAAACGCATAGGGGCTCTTTATGTGTGCTGTATAATTAAGGTTTGTTTGTTATGGAGTCATTTTTATACAACAAAATTATTATTAGTTGAATTAAAAGAGCAAGTTAATACCACATAATTCAATAAAATATATTTTTATTAATTTATAAGTTTGAGTTATATTTTATTAAAACAAGTTTCATAGTCATAATGTTTAAGTATCATTTATTATAAAAAAAAAAAAAAAAAAAAAAAAAAAAAAACATTGAAATAAAACTGTAATTTATTGTTATA